CACTCAGTGCACCAGCGCAGGGAGGTCCAAGGCCGGGCCAAGGACTTTGATGTGCTAGTGGCAGAACTGAAGGCCAGCTCTCGCAGAGGGGAGTCCCCCAAGGAGAAGAGCCCAGGACACAAAGAGCCAGCTCTCCAGCGCCCCTCCCAGGAGCTTCCCTCCTCAGTTCAGGCTGTGGCAGCAACAGGGGCGACTGGCAGCACCTTCTCTGCTCGAGCCAAGCAAACCTACCCATACTGTGTGCTGCCCAGGTATGTATAAGATCCGGCCCCCACCTTAACTGGGATGCTCAGGTCCTAAGACAACAGGTACCCCTTGGAGACAGGCCCAGGGAGCGTTCTAGAAGATGTGCTCACTCAGCCTTGCCTGTGGGGGGTACCTGGGCCCTGGCAATGTTGTAGAAGCAGGTGGCTCCCCTGTTCCTGCCCACACATATCCCAGTAGCCCTGCCTCTCTGTGGCATGCCAGATCCAACACCCAGGATTTGAATATTTTCCCAGCTACTTCTGAAAAGCTAAAACCTATCACTGGGGAGCTGAAAGGGTCAGGGTCCCGGGTGAGGCAGTCCTACTGTGTATTTATTCCCTGGCCCCTTCGTGTGCAGAGGCTGCGCTGGACCCCGGGGAGAGCCTGCCTTGCCGAAGGAGACACACACGCATCTCTGCCTGTAACACGAGGGGCAGACACGAAACAGGCTCAGCTCCCAGACAGGCTCGCAGGAATATGTGATGCAAGAAGGGGGTTGAGAGAGTTGACTGGGCTGACCAGAGCTGGGTGCAGTTAAGCTCTGAAGATTTTCTGGAGGAGGCGAATCTGGAGCAGATTTTCCCCCTGAGGAGGCAGGGCCTGGGAAGTGAAGGGCTGGGGAGAGAATCCCTTGGGAGCTGTGGCCCCGGGCTCTGTCTCTTCTGAGCTTTTTCTATCTCATCCTCCTCTTTTCCTCCTTCCTTTTCCTCTCATTGCCCAGCAGGGTGTCGCCCCCGGCCTTTTGAAATTGGCGGGTTCAGGGACACCCCCATCCTGACCTCCCCCGTCACATCATCCTCACCTCCCCTTTGGCCCTTCTAGGTCCCGGGCCTCCTCTGAGAGTGAGTTGGATGATGAAAGCCCCTGTGGTGGTGATGGGGACCCAGGCCTGTTCCCCTTCCCTCTGCCCCGGGGTGGGGCCCAGGCCTCCAGCGAGGAGAGTGAGGAGGAGGGGACATCTGAGGACCTCCACCCCCTCCCTGACTGCCATTATGCAACCCGGCCCCCGCGGCCACAGGCGGTAAGGACCAGGGATGGGGCCTGGGGAGGGGGGTGGCCCAGTCCTGGCCCACAGTATGGAGCAGAGGTCAGATCTCGCGCACAGATGGCTCCCGAACCTCAGGCACTGCCAACCGGATCCCCTCCTTCTGCCTGCAGTTCTGCACCTTCGGGAGCCGCCTGGTGAGCCCGGGATGCTACGTGTTTAGCCGCCGACTGGACCGGTTCTGCTCTGCACTCAGTTCCATGCTGGACCGGCACCTCAGCTCACACATGTGGAAGTGAGTGCCCTGGACCCAGAGCCTGCCCTCCCGAGCTGAGCCTGCGCACACGTGCACCCCAGAAGCCCTTGTCCTTCCCTCGCGCCCATCAGTGTCCCCTGGTGTTGCCAGGAATGCCCCAGCTAGGGCATGGTGTGAGGTGGAGAAGGAAGGGGCCTAGCAGCCTGGACAGCGGGGACGGGTAGTCTGGGGACGAGTCTCGGCTCTTGCTCTCTTCACTTCCAGCACATTCAGAGTGACTTGGGCGGGGGATGCCCACACGGAGGCCTAAAGCGAGCTCATCTATGCACTAGTTGGAGAGTGCTGAGGTCTCTCTTCCCAGGCCTTCTGCCTGGCTCACACTTCCACTGTCTCCCAGCAGATGGCAGCAACTCTGGGGCTGTCCCGGCTATTTCTAGGCAGGGCCAGGAGACCGGTGTGTGCTGGGAAGCCCTCTGGTGTGCATGTTACTCACAGGGGACTCTCTTTTTGCTGCAGGAAGATCCCACCAGCGGCTGAGCCTCCACCCCACCTTGTCAGCGCCGGCTTACCTGCTCCCCTGAGCCCATCCTCCATGGGCAGCTGCCCCCGACTTCCTGGCCCGCCCCCTAGACCTGCCTGCCCGGCCTCCACACCCCTTAACAAGGACAGCCTTGTTCCCAGCTACCCAGCAGGCTCCCCCAGTGTGGCAGCTGCCTGCAGTCAGGCGGAGTGCATGGGCGGCAGCCAGGCGATCACCTCACCACTGCCTGCCAACACGCCATCCCCATCCTTCAGCAAGCTGCCACCTTCCAAGGCCAGCAAGTCATCCAAAGGCAAGGATGGGGTGGAGGTGGAGGCTCCTTCTCGAAAGCGGAAGTTATCCCCTGGCCCCACCACTTTCAAACGGACCTGCATCCTTGAACCCACTGGAAAAGGCAAACCGTCTGGCTGCCGGGGTCTCTCAGCCAAGACTAAAACTGCCCTAGCCATGGGCCTTAATGGGACAGTGGGACCAAGAATGAAGCGGGCAGGGCCCCTGGACTGTCGGGGTTCGCTTCATCCGCCCTCCACACCTGTCAAGGCTTCTCAGCTGGAGAACCGGGGAGCCGCTGGACACCCCGCCAAGGCCCTGCCAACCAACTGCCTCTCTGAGGAGGAAGTAGCCAAGAAGCGGAAAAACCTGGCCACTTACTGCCGGCCAGTGAAGGCCAAGCACTGTCAGGCTGGTGCCCCTGCTGACACGGCCTGCTCTGTGCGCCGCAAGAAGCCAGGCCCAGCTTTGGCCTTTGAGGAGAAGTGCTCTACACTGAAGGTACCAGCCCAGCTGCCCAAGGAGCAGGCAGAGAGGATCAGGAAGGCCGAGTGTAGGGAACACAGTGGGTACCCAACATGGAACGGTGTTAAGTAGGTGATACGCAGGGAAGAGAAAAAGGAACTTGAGGGTTCCTGGGCCAGTACTTTAGAGAGAGGTCATCAAGTGATGGAACATCCTATCCACAGCCTGCCTGTCCCTTGAATTCAGAGCATTTTACTCTTTGCCCTTGCCTTTTTCTTCTTTTTTTTTTTTTTCCTTGCTTTATCTTTAATCAAAGGGAACTGCTTTCTGAATTGCTGTGGCTTTGCTTCAGGACCTAAGACACATCTACCCCTTGAAAGAAAGGGAGTTTGGGTTGTTAAATTGAGACTGAGGAAAAGAGGGTGTGGTCTGGTCTTGTTCCTCAGTTCTTCCTCTTATAAGAGGACCCAAAAGGCAGGTACACAGTGCAAGAGACCTGGGTGCCAGCCTTGTGCTTGTCTCACCTCCAGGTTCTCTGGTGATGTTGGTCCTCCAGGGTTTCTAGTAAAGTGTGCAGCTGGGTGTGTCTGCCCTTCTAATGGAAGCCCTGGGGCGGCCTGCTTTGCACTCCTGCATGGTGTGTGCCAGCAAGGCCCTGTGGGAGACAGGAGGGGAAGTGCTATTCGCCAGGTGCAGGTGTGGGCTGACCGCCTCCCTGGCTACAGTTCAGTCCAGTCTGCCTGTTGTTGAGGGTCTGTGTGTGTGTGTGCACGCATGTGTACAAACATGCACGTGTGTCCTCCAACTTTGATCCCCTGGCTCCCCCTGTTGAGCTGGCATTTATCTTGCCTTGCTCAGTTTTGCTTACCAGGCCAGCAGAGGCAAATGAGGGTTTGGCCCTTACAGCCTGCATAATTCACAGGGTGTGATGACTGCTGAGTCCCCATCCTGACCTTGCCTCTTTTGCCTCTTGTCTTCTTACAGTCAAAAGCCCATTAACGAGAAAGTGCCTGCCCACTGCAACGGAGCCGCCAGCACCTCCTCCCCTCCAGATCCGGGTCCCAGGCTGCTGCCGCTTTTTATAACTTTATATTTTTTTTAAGAAAAAAAAAACTCTTTAAAATACCTCAAGATTGTCTCCCTGTTCTGTTGCTGCTAACAAAATATAAAAACAGAAACACAGAAAAGGAAGAAAAATAATGTAGCAGAATGAGTGTCCTTTTTGTCCCCAACCCCATCCCGAAGGCTGAGATGATAGGTAGTCAAATTCTAGGTCTTAGGCACCCGCGCACGCGTGCACACGCAGACACACATTTTTTAAAAATTGGCTCAGTCTGGGGATTGCATCTCGCGGGAGTCTTCAGGTGGGATGATGAGGAATGTGTCTCCATCCTACTCCATGGTCGCGTTTCTCTGGCTGTGCCTGCCTTTCTCACCTCTTTCTAGTGTCCTCCGTATTTGGCCACACAGGGAGCTTGAGCTGAGTTGGTAATTGTTCTCAGGATTAATGCTAGAGGGCCCGGATGTAGCTCAGCAGCACAGCATCTTCCTGGCAAGAGCAAGGCTCTGAGTTCAATTTTTAGTACCAAAAAAAAAGGATTAATGCTGGCGTCTATTTAGTCACCTCTTGGTTGGTGGTTTTGCCCTGAAGGCCAGGGCTCCAGGGCTAGGCCGGACCACACCTGTCTGCAGGCAGGAAGGAATTGGGAGGTCACTTGCAAAGCTCAGAGGTGGGAGGCGCTGGTTCCTCAGGCTCACCTGGCTTCTCAGGGTTTCAACAGCTGTTACGAAGGCAGCAGGCCAGGTGCCCTAGTTCTTCCTCCTAGCTCAGCTGGGGACAATTGCGGATGGGGCTGAAATTAGCATCTCTCTCTTCGCCCTCAAACCTGAATTCGCCAGGTTCAGGGCACTAGGTTTTCAGCCTTGTCCTTTCCTTTTATTTCTCGTGCTTGGGCAAGGAGAGATTTTTGTCCCCTTAAGCCAGAAGAGACGGCAGGAGAGAGTGAACCGCTAAGGAAATCCCAATACTTCAGGAAAACTGCTAAAGACGCTGGTTTCACACTCGGGTCTGCATACCAAGTGCGCGATTTGAGGTTTCACTGAACTCAGTTGCCACAGATGTAATACCCACTGGCTGCTTCAGATGCAGCCCTTATAGGCACAGGTACACAAGGAGCTGCGCCGGGAGGTGGCAGGTCCAGGTCTCGGGGAGCGGCCCCTGAGGCTCGCCCCCGGCCCCCAGGGGGCGCTGTGGGCGCCTCCGCCGCATTGCCGGTGGCTCCCCCGGGGAGGAGCCTCTCCTGCAGCTGCCACAGCCTCCGCCTTCGCAAACCCGGAAGACGCCTCCGGCAGCTGGACTGTGCGGGCTGGCCCTGCACGGCCATGCAGCCCCTGGACGTGGGTCTGGTTCCCGTTCAAGCGAGGGAGCCGAGACTGACCCGCTGGCTGCGGAGAGGCAGTGGGATCTTGGCGCACCTGGTGGCTCTGGGCTTCACCATCTTTCTGATTGCGCTGTCCCGGCCAGGAACCAGTGAGTGCGTAAGGCGGGGCAGGGCACTGGAGGGGCGGAGCCAAGGTGCTTGAGGGGCAGCTCCGGGAGCGTGGGGGTCGGCAGCGGACCGGGTGTCACTGTCTGGTGGGCGGGGCCTGGGGAGTGAGTGCTGGAGGTGGGGGAAGGCAGGTGATCGAAGAACTCAAACTGTCACTCCACCGTAAGCAGGGCTTCTGAAGGATGCAAGGGCAGGAGAGAGAGAAGTCTACTCGCACTCAGCTGACAGCCGAGATGGGCGGGGGGGGGGTGCCCAGGCCACGCTGGTTCGTGTTTGCTGGGAGCCCTCTGTGGGCGTTCACCCAAAGGCCCCTTGCCACTCCGCCTTGCCCTGAGTTCCTGAGTAGGTTTGAGAGGGGAATGCCGACCTTCGCACCCTGGCCAGAATCTGGGCCCCACCTAGTGTCGGGGAGGGCACAGACGCAGTGGTGCTCAGCCATCAGCCCGGTCTCTTTGGTTCTTAGGTCTTTTCTCCTGGCATCCAGTGTTCATGGCCTTGGCGGTGAGTCTGAGCTTCTGTCCACGCCTGGTTTCGGATATGCATAGCATCCCCCGTGGGGAAGCAGCCAGCTTTGAGAAGGCTCAGCCTAAGATTCAGAGACGTGGGGGACACAGCCAGGGCTCCCTTCCTCCCCATGGCCTATGGGCTGGGGATCCTGGAGGGCTTGGGCCATGGGTAAAGGGTCAGGTGTTTCAGAAGGTGAGAGGGCTTGGGAGAGATTACTTCACCGGGGCTTGGAAGGAGGAAGTGGAAGGCCTGTTATAGTCATCACTGCCCTTGCCCCTAAAGTTCAGGAGAAAGTTTAACATTTGCTGTTCCATTGTCCCAGAAATGGGAAGGCAAATGTCAGCTGGAGTGATGAGACATTCAAGTACCAGTTCCCTGTTTGTTACTCAAGTGCTGACCTGTGAAGTCCTTTAGCCTCCACCCTTTGTCCTCCATTTGGATCTGTGAGGTCACCTCCTTTTTCTCAAGCTCCTAAACCAGATCCACGGCTCACTGGCCTCTTCTGTATTCACAGTTCTGCCTCTGCATGGCTGAGGCCATCCTAATCTTCTCGCCTGAGCACTCCCCATTCCTCTTCTGCTCCCGAAAGGCCTGGATCCGGCTCCACTGGGCAGGGCAGACCCTGACCATCCTCTGTGCCACCCTAGGCCTCGGCTTCATCGTCTCCAGCAAGATCCGCAGCGAGCTGCCCCATCTGGCATCCTGGCACAGCTGGGTAGGCATTCTGACGCTGCTGGCCACTGGCGCTCAGGCTCTGTGTGGGCTCTGCCTCCTCTTTCCCCGGGCAGCCAGGGTCTCGAGGGTGGCTCGCCTCAAGCTCTACCATCTGACATGTGGACTGGTGGTCTACCTGATGGCGACAGTAACGGTGCTCCTGGGAATGTACTCAGTGTGGTTCCAGGCCCAGATCAAAGGCGCAGCCTGGTACCTGTGCCTGGCACTGCCCCTCTACCCAGCCCTGGTGATCATGCACCAGATTTCCAGAGCCTACTTGCCGAGGAAGAAAATGCAAATGTGAGTGCCTCCTAACAGAATTCCAGAGGGACACTCGCCTTGGACCTCAGGGGCTCCTTGGTGAACTTCAAGGGATCAACTTTAGCAGTGTTGGATTTTTGTACTTCGTAACCAGGCCAGGGGCTGCAGAAACGCAAGCATGTATTATTGAGCGATGATTCAGTAGGCAAAAGTGGGCAAGAGCACTGGGCACAAGTGGGAGGTGATAGAGAACTTGAGCCTGAGGCCTCTACTCTTGGTGGGAGGCAGAAGTATTAGGCAGTGGTGGTGGTAGTGGTTTCTTATTTGCCTGATGAACAGTTGGATTTGTGCACATTATGAATGAAAGACACAGATGTTTAAGTCGCTTTAGGGAAAGCAAAGTGATACAGTGGAGAAAACTCATGGGTCTTGCTTGTGGTCCTCTTAGGTTATTGTGCAACCTTAGGTAAATTCTGTATCTCAGGACTTGGATGGTTTTAAACTATCTCTAAGTCCCTTTCATCTCTAACGTTCAGTGTTTTCCAAGCTGGTGGCACCGAACCCACTCCCAGCTCTGTACTGTATGGACCACTTAGCAGCCTGATGATACAACTTTCACATTCATTCTCCTTTTGCTCCCTTGAGAAAGACATCTGCCCTTGTAGCCCTTCAGCAGGCTTGCTGACCTAGCTCTTGGGATTTGGATTCAAGGGATCTGGCACTGTTGCATAAAGGCGCCCAGGGGAATGTCTCCTGGACTCCGAGACAGCAAAGGCACTAAAGTCACTTTAACATTTTGAAGGTGTGAAGTTGCATTGGCTTAACCAAGCCCTTAGCTTCTGATAGGATCCTTGGCTCAGCTAAGAACTTCCTTTAGCCCACCTCAGGACCTGGCCTGCAACACCCGGATGTGCTCCTTTCCCTGACATCCATTCTCAGGGCAGAGCAGTCTTGGGCATCTCGTGTTTTACTCTCCTTAGGGCTCAGGGTCTCGTCTTAGCACACAGCTTCATGGAACTACTCTGATGCTTTTAGAGCAAAATGAGGACCAAAGAAGTGGTCAGAGCTCTGCTCATCAAGGAGAACAAAGCCTTCTTGGTTCCCTTTCTCTCTTTGTCATCTAAGCTTTCCTAGGTTGTCATCTCCTGTCAGCTCTTTGACCTAAGAGATAGCCCCATCTGGCCAGCTGGCAGATGAAGGCTGGGCTGTCTTCCCTGTAGAAAACCTTTCTTGTTCCAACTGAAACGAGTTCCCCAAACTGCCTTCAGTGGCAAGGACTGGATGCCAGGCTGGTTAGCTGTAGCCCAGCACCTTCGGGGCAATGAGACCTCGGTAGATCTCGGAAGGACTGAAGACATCTGGCTTTCTTTACACAGATCCAACCCATGGGAAACTGGGAGGCCTGGGATGGGCCAGCACTCCACTTCCTGTGAGCAGGGAGAGGCCTACTTTGATGTCACTTATCTTACATGTCCCAGGCCTGCTGAAGCTTCAGGGCTTCCTCTCCACATGACTCAGAAGCAGGCAGGCTGTGTGATTTAATAGCACAGGAATGAGATGATGAGAGCAGAAGTATCCTCAGTGGACCTGCTTTATTTCTCCTGGGTGAGATGGCATCTTCTAGGAGCTCTCTAGGTGCTGAGCACCCAAGGGCTGTGCAGAGGGTGACTGTCCTCTCCACCTCCCACTGCCCAACATGGTGCAAAGTTAGAATTGATAGTTACCGGATTGCATGGAGAAGTTTCTCACCTAGGGTCACTTGGAAACAGGGATTCCACTTCTCTCCTGATCATGGCCAGTGCTGGCGGCTGACACAGGGTGAGAGGGCCTGCTAAGGTTCGTCAGCCTGCCCTGAGTAGCAGGCAATGCCGGAAAGCCAAGCCTGCCTGAGGTGTTGCCTCCTCCCAGGTGGTGTGGGGGCTGGTGGGCGGGCAGGCGGGCAGGCGTGCTGACAGCCGGCAGTTTGCGTGGGCTGTGCCATCTGATGTCTATTCCCAGCCCTGGGAGGAAGGGGAATCATTTATATTCTGCAGGAGGAAAGGGACCCATCTGTCGCCTCTCTGCCCAGCAGGCCTGGAGGGCAGGGGCACAGGGCAGACTAGGGCTGAGGTCTGCTTGGCCCAGTCTGATTGCAGTATAGGGAGCAGGTCACCAGCAGGAGCTTTTTTTCCTGGGAGGCCAGATTGTGGGGGAAGCCTCCCTCCCCTCCCGTCTTTCCATTTCGCCCTCTACCACCACCTGTCTTCACATCCTGGGGCAGCAGCTGGACAGCCATTAGACCTCAGTGCCAGGGCACGCTTCCTGCAGCTGGGAGCTCAGTGGCTGCCCACAGCATATGCCTCCCGGCTGTGAGCTCCATCCTCCCCCTCCCCCTTCTATCTCCTGATGGTTGGGTACTAGCTGGGCTCCTCAGCCAGACAGAGGCCTCAAGGGAGAAGCAAAATGGCTGCCCCTCTGCCCTTGTTCTCTGACAAGGGAAAACTGCTCTTAGGAAAAAAAAAAAAAAAAAATCTAGGGTGCTAAAAACCCCCTCTTATTTGCACAGATTTCCGTATCAGGCTTCCTAAGTCTTGATTCCATATTTGATTGTGTTCCAAGTTTGATTATGTGTACACTCAACCTTGAGGACAACAGAGACATAGATGGCATTGCACCCAAATCCAAGCGCTAATGGGATGGCTGGTCTGGGCTTTGATGGCGCTCACAAGGCTCCATCTTTCCTGCCCTTCCTGTGAGCCTTTCGGGGTGGGGGTGGTGTGCGCGGCAGGAGCTCAGTGTCTGTGGAAGTCGTCCAGCCTCACTGTGGCTGTCAGCTCCACCGCCGCTGTCACTTCCGGCTGCTACCTCCCCTCCCCGCTGCCCCCAAGGCAGGCTCCCCTTCCCCACTTCCTGACGCTGGCCTGTCCCATCTCATTTCCCATCCTGGCACCCCCATGCATGGCTGCTGTGGGTCTTGTTTTCCAGCCTCACTATGGGAGATCCAGGCGTCCTCCCTGAGCCAGCTGGCTGCCGTGCCAGGGCCTGTTTGGAGTTAATAATAATCATTAGCTGAATGGTGCTGGGGCCGCAGCTCCAGATCCCTAAGCACTTGCAGGCTGAGTCAGCCAGCCCTCACTTGCCCCCTCTTCCTGGACTGCAGAGTGTGACAGAATGGGGAGGTACTGGGAGAGGAGGGACTCAAGCATCCTGTGGCCTAGCCATCCTTTGAGGCTTTTTCTGGGAGCAAGTACCGAGAGTCCCCACCATAAACTAAGAAGGCCTGTGCACCTGACAAAAGTTGAGAGACGCAGGGAATACAGTGTACTTTCAGTAGAGACTGGTGGTGGTAGTGGCAGCTGATGACCTGGAACCTCTAGTACTCCTGGCTTGCTTTCTGTATACCTGCCATGGCCTCCAGGGGGCGCCCTGGGTCCTGATGCCCCAACCTCAGCTTTTCCAGTGCTTTTGCAAGCTCAGGGAGGCCTCTGGCTTAGTGTCCCCGATGCCCCTATGTCTGGCTGGCATAAACAGCCTATGCATCAAGACATACAAGACACTGGCCTGGAAGCTGGGGAAATCGCTGCATCCATTCACTCAGTCCCCACCCTGGTATGGCCACAAGCAAACCACGTGCCACTCAGCCTACCTCACAGAGATGTTCAAAGTTGGACAAGAGAATGCATGTTAACAAGAAATGGACAGTTCAACGCATTAAACCTATGTAAGCAGCTGGCATCACTGTGTTCTTGTCCTCTCCTCACTGAGCCTGGCTCTCAGCTTCATGCTTCCTAGGGAGGCAGTAAGCATTTACAGATGGGGGTGGGGGACCCGAGAGACACATCTCTTACTTCCAGATGCAAGATCAGTTCTGTACTCCTGCCAGAAATGCCACCAATCCCATGACCATTGAGGATTGCCCAAGGGGCTGGGGACATAGCTCGGTAGAACGAGCATGCGCCTGGCAAATGCAAGATCCTGAGTTCCATCCCCAGTTCCACAAAGTCAGTAAATGAGGTTTGCCCTAATTGCTGCCTACCTAGTGCCTTCGGGTCATGGGGCTAATTGCAAATGGTGGAGTCTGAACTGCTGCCCTCTAGGTCTTACCAGAGTTGCTCTTAGGTAAGAGCTGCTGGTCATGCTCTAGCTCCATACCCACTCCTTGATTCTGTCCTTAGGGAAGAGGAGCACAGCACAGTGAGGGATGGGGCTTCTGGTTTCGGAGGTCCAAAGCTTGGTTTCCCTTCCTTGTGTCAGGTTCTCAGAGTAGCATCACAGCCTCTTCTTCTTCCTCCAAACATTTTACCGAAATTTACACACACACTCTCGCATGCCATGAAGGTCCGCTAAAATTTGAAATGAGCCGAAGGAGGATACCTTCTGTTTGCCTGAGAACAGGCAGCAGCAGTCTGCCCGGACTGAATGCAAAGAGACTGGAGCAACAGCAGCACAGAGGTTTGAATTGTTTTTTTCTTTTCTTTCCTGGGATCTAGGAATTAAATCCTAATCAGGAATTGTGGGCATAACTTCAGCCGTTCTCACCACCACAGGCATGAAGGAGGCACATGTTGCAAGGTGGGTGGACGCTGCCCCAGAGCTGTCCTGGAGGCAGGGTGCAGCAGTCTCAGCTCTGCGCTGAATGCAGAAAAATTACTTCCAGTGAACAGTACTTCCCTCCCTTTCCCCGTACCCCACCCTGAGGGTTTGACTGGTCACCAAGGCAGTCTCTGAATAAGTTTTTGTTTTGTCTTTTTGAGTCAGGGTTTTTCACTATGCAGTTCGGCTGGCCTTGAACTCACAGCAGCCCTCCTGCCTCAGCCTTCTGAGTGCTGGGCTCACAATCGTGTGCCTCCACACCCAGCTAATGGTCCACTTTTAACCCAGCTGCTATTTTCAGAATTCCCAGATGAGTTTTTAGTGTCTTTTGGAAGCAGACTGAAGAACCATTTCAGGCTACTCTGTGGTTTCCAAGGAGTCAACTCTGTCTCAGCGAATTGACCTGAGTAGCCCCTGGCACTGCTGTCTTTACAGTGTACCCCTAGCTGCCCCACCAGCCCTGGGTACCACCCAACCCCAGTCTCCAGCAGGGTGGGCACTGTGCACATGGTAGGCACACATCCCAGCGGTGGGGGCAGTGACACACGTTAGACATGTCTGTGCCAAGGGCGCCTAGAGGTCCCATGCAGGGCTTTGTGCTCTGGCTCATGGAAAGACGTTCTCAGGCCATTGTCCTACACCCTCTTTGCTCTGAGGGACAATAACTAGGCTGCCTGGGAAGGCCTCGGGATGTATCGTGTCGTCACTATTCGTTATTTTCTACTTGTCAGTAGGCATACCTGATGAAAAGGCATCCTGACAGCCGCTTTAACCTGCCTCTCTCGAACAGCAGCATCTAGGATAGATTTACTGTGGCCTTCCCAGAAAGGCCCCTGTCCTCCAGGAGGCGCTTGAGCCTTTCCTGCTATGTGGGTGGGGAAAGGGGAGAAGACCAACCAAGTGAAAGAAACAGACTCGTCCATGCTTTGAACCTTCATTTCTCCCTTCTAAAAGGCAACTTTCACATTAGCCTCCACACCCTGAAGAGCAACTTAATTTGGGGGCTGGGGTGCCACAAGCCATGCCATACACAGCTGCACATCGTGGCCAAGATCCAGGAACTTCCTGTGACCTTGGGTGGGGTGGGGTGGAAGAGTTGAACGAGTGTAGCTATGGACTTCCTTGGGATGATGAGGATGAAGGCTTAAGACAAGCCTAAGGGCCGGCCAGATAGCTCAGTGGATTAAAGCACCTGCTTTGGCAGACACAGGGGCCAGGGGTTGATCCCCAGTCTGCTGTGCCAGCCCTGCCCCAAGGAGCGCTGAGACATTGATTGAGACTTGGTGTGGTGGTGTGCACCTGTAATCCCAGCATTTGGGAGGCTGAAAAACAGGAAGGATCACTACTGTACTAAACAAATTTTTTTTTTAAAAAGGCCTAGTGGCACAGGCCTGTAATCCAGAACTCTGGGAGGCTTGCAAATTTAATCCCAGCCTGGGCAATTTAGCAACTTAGGGATACCCTGTATCCAAAAAAAAATTAATCAATGGGATGGAGACACAGATCAGTGTGTTCAACCCACAATACTGCGAAGAACAGAACACAATACAAAAACAACCCTGGCAGGCTCACAGAGGGATGTGGCCCAGGCCAAGACAAGGGAAAGAATAACTAGGCTTTCTCAATCTGCTCTCTTTCCGTCTCTGGCCATACCACCTGGAAGGTGCCTGATCTCAGCTGTTCTCTGTACCAGCTTCATCTTCTAGGCCAAACTGCCAGCCATTGCGAAAAGTTCACAGACAGCAAACAGTAAACACGGACTATGTAAGAGCTCGTACATGCAATCCATCATTTTACTACTCGTTGCCAAGGTCGACCCGTCTGACATGGCTGGTTGTACACCGTCTCTTATCCCTCACCAGCTCAACTGTTGCGCATGAAGTGAACAAGGCAGAAGCTCCAGCCAGCATGGTACTGTGTGCCTATCACACCATCTGCCTGGCAGGATGAGGCTAGGATTGCAAGTTCGAGGCTAGCGTGGGCAACGTAGCTAGATCCTGTCCCAAAATGTACAAATAACATAAAAAGGGTTGGGGATATAGGTAGTGCTTGCTCTACTATGTGGGAAGGACTGGATTCAGTCTCTAGGAGCACACACGCATATGTGTACACATCGCACGTGCGCGCGCACACACACACACACTTTCTAGACTGGGATTTGCCTTTTGGTTGAAATTTTATAAATATAAGAAACTAGGTAATTATACAAATTCTTACCCTTTCAATTTCCTTTTTTTTTTTTTTTTTTTTCTCCTTATAATATGTTCTTTCTCCATTTAGGACCCGCCACGACATTCCCCTTCTAGAAATACCAAGACAGCAGCCAAAGAATTTGGCTGATTGTCAGAGTTTCAAATCAATTCTAGTTTCCGGTAGGCTATGTCTCTACCAAAAAAGTGAAGATTACATTTTCTCATTGCACACAATGCCTAGAACACACTAAATTGTCCACGAGTATAAATTTGTGCATTAAATGAATATACTTTTAGCCTTAGCTACCATTTGCAACAGGAAAATATACTGGCAATAAAATGACATGTAAGTGGACAGTTTCCCAGTGTTTCTCAAAACCCATCCCAACCGTTTCCCCATGGTACCATCAGGAAGATTAAGCTAGACTTTTTTTTTTTTTTTTTGGTGGACCCAGGGATTGAACTCAGGCCCTTGCACTTGCCAAGGAAGTGCTTATTCCACTGAGCCATCTCCCCAGCCCCAAGACAAGTTTTTTTTTTTTT